TTACTCCAATATCTTCATGTCTCGCACTTCTCGCCTGCGGAACTCCCTCCCCTTTTACTGTTTCCCTGATAGCTGTAATCGCCAACTATTCAAATGTAATGTCAATCGACGTCTCCACTTGCCTTGATCTATCCCCTATCCTTTCCTCTATCACTCCTCATTGCTCTCGCTCCAACTCTATATAACTCCTTGCATATATTGGCTTCCCCACCTTGCTTGGGATGAAACGCTTAATATATATATATATATATATATATATATATATATATATATATATATATAATATATTTTTTAGGATATAACATCAAAACATGTAAAAAAAGCGCTACACAAATGCAATCATGTTTTGATATGTATTAAAAGATCTCATCAGGCGTTAATGAATAACTGGTGAGTAGATAATTTTGTGAGATTTAAAATTTTAAGACAAGATACAACCTCTTTTTACGAGAAAATGAAGAAAAAGAAAAAGAGATACATTTATTTTGAACTTAGCATGGGCCATTTTGATTGGTTGATCTGTGTAAAAACAAAACAAAATCTGTAACTATCTCAACTTTTTTCCTTTCTTAATCTTTTTCTTTTTCTTCCTTTTCTCGTGAAAAGCAGGTGTATATTGTGTCTTTTTACTTTTTTTTTCCTTTTCTCTAATAATTCTCTTCTTTGCTACTTCTCCATCTCCCACGAAAAATAAATTCTACCTCCCTCCATGTCTACAAGAAACACTTTTCTCCTCCTTTCCTCCATATCTCCCCCCCCAAAAAAAAAAGAAAAAAAAAAGAAGTTCCGTAGAAAGCCAGACTTAGATTAACCAAATCCAGGAAACGCCTTTTATTGTCGCGTATTTTTGACGTCATTCTTTGATCTTGTCGGAGCTTTTCGGACAAGTCTGGTTTTCAGTATCTTCCTTCCACGAAAAGAAATGGTTTTTTCAGGGATACCTGGGTAGTTAGCCACACACCACCTCAACGACCCTTACGACATAAAATCATTGGGAGTGGCTACGAGAACACAGCAGTTTTTCCCCTCATATCTCTGTTTGCTCGTCTCCCCCTCAATCTCTCTCCCCCCTCTCTCTCTCTCCCCATATATATATATATATATATATATATATATAATTGGTGCAGTTGTTTACCTTGTTCAATAAATTCTTGTTGGGTGGGCGAAAGTCTGGGTCGGCTGACGCATATCATTCGCTCACGCTTTTACGTAGTCTCTCGTTTTTTTTGCGGGCCCAGGCAACCTGTTTTTATTTTTTTTACTTTACCAACACCCTCATCATTTCCCCATCCGTCTTCCAGCCAAGCCTTCATTCTCATTCGATGTAGCCTGACCGAATACAGGCTTGGAATATCCAAATCTTCTTCCGCCTTTCTCCGGTTCACTTTTGTCTCATTCTTGACATTTAAAAGAGAAATTTGCAGAAACTGGTTTTTCTGGTTTCCTTCTGTTGATAGACACATGAATAATTTTTTTTTTAGTTTAACGATTCGAACATTTGGTTAATATTCGATTTTTACCCTGAATTTACGAATCAAACCAGTTGTTATTATCACCCGCATGGAAATCAGAATGGGTTTATCGAATTTAGATATTGAAGTTTTTTAATCGATCAAACTTTCGAATTGATTTCTTTTGAATCTACGATGGTCGATTGATCTCGTAACGCTTGCCTTGGTTTTATTTAGTTTGCTTTGTTTGTTTTAACGGCATATCAACACCTTATGGGTCATTTAATGGTGAAATTTAATTTTCTTGGAAGCATTAGCAGTTTTTTTTTACAAAAATATATTGCTGGCATCTTCACTATAAAATGCAATTTTTAAACTTTTATTTTTGACACCAATTTGGGGGTTCACTTTTTTCCCATAGCTGGGACCCTAACAGGTGCTACCACTCCAGGTCAGGTTGAACCTGGAAACAACTGCAAATAAGAGGTGGTGCCATACTCCTCAAAACCTCCCGATCAGAATTCTTTACTGCCGGATGTAGTTTATCGTCATACCCAGGACGTATTGCTCAATTATTGTTTGCCTTCTTTCTACTAAGTTTATATCTGTCTTATCCGAATCAGTGATTGAATTACGATGTCACAAAATTCACTAACCGCTACATTAATATACTTGGCTATTTTCCCGTGGGGTCAAGATAATATATCTCTAGACAGCGGAGCGAGGAACTCCTGCCCTCGTAGATTAAATAAAGGGTTTAGTTCCGAGATCCGAGATTCACTGGATCGACATATATCTGAAGAAGGCTGGAGATCACAACGGTCGGAACTTAATAATAACAATAAGGATGAGAAAATAGCATGAATGTAAATACTTTAAATAGAAAGATTATGTTACGTCAATCGTGCAGGTCAGAAGGATTTGTTTGCCTAAAACTTGATGTATTTGTGCTTATTGAAGACTGAAGACGGAAGTTAAGAATTACAAGTGATGCCAGTCGAATGATCCGGGTTACAAGAATCTCGGGGTCATCTGGATAGAATGGGCTC